CCAACATGTCACTTCAAAGATCTATCTAGGGAACTAACAGAGCACAATTTTTAAGGGATATCCTAAACTCAAGTATTACATCTAGTTCAAAGGCAAGAGTTTTGATGCGGCAGAAATCATTACAATTAACTGTTTTATTGAAGGGTGTTTTGTGGCAACGCAAAAACAGTGTTAATATAAATTAGTATTAAAAGCAATGTAATACAGTGGGGATCTTGAGTAATTAATTACGTGACTGCATTATCACAAAGTATATCCAGCCTTCAAGAAGTCAAAAAATAGATCTTCATGCAGTCAACCCTCTTTTTAGGTGCAAACACAGAAAACAGTAGGGTTCTGCCTATCCTTTCACAAAGGGTGAAAAGTACTATTCAGATTCCATGGCTAGGCTGGCCACTTTGTTTGCAATAAACAGGAAGACAGTTGAGTAATTTCCCCAAATAGCATTTGGAGACAAAAGAAATAGTTGGCAGCCTTCATATATTTCCGAGATATAGCACCAACAGCAACATTGACAACAACAACTAGGACTGATGGAAGGCATGCATGAGTTCTGCCATCCTCATATGCAGAGGGTAAGATGGGCTAAAAATGATAGTGCTTGTTTTAATGGTATCTAGAGATGCTTGATAAGTGCACCCCCCCCCAATCCCTGCATAAAACATCCTCTAGGTCTAGGACCAATGTACAGATTGGAACTTAGGTATCCAACTGATTTTGTACTTCTGCTGCAATGCATTTTTGGCAGATTTACCACATCAAACCATGTATTTTAAATATAAACTTTGAGTGGAAATGTATATCTCAATATAAATGGAGACTTTGCCTTCTTTTTTTCAAGTAGCTTAATGCAGGCTCAGAAAGCACTGGAACGATATGTGCAAAAAATGCAAAAGGCAGAAATAGACAGATTAATCTAACCCTAGTAGGAACAGTAGTAAGCATACAGTATATAAAGAATGCATGATGAAAATATGGTTATATTTAACTGTGGATGTTATTTTAAATCATGGAGATTAAAAAAATAAATCTGTTACTAATACATATTTCTTATTAATAACAATAGTAGTAGTAACAAGGATGCAATTTAGACATTTTTAATTGTGCTGCTTTACATTACTTTTTATTTTTAAAATTGTTTCCCTTCCCTTCAACCACTGGTCCATTGTCTGCACTGTTTGGCAGCAGTTCTCCAGATGTTCAGCTAGGCGTCTTTCCTAGGTCTATCTGGAAATGCCAGGAATTGAACACAGGACCATTTGTATGAGAAGCATGTGTGCAAAGTTGTCAGGCATAATTGGTGGGCCCCCATTTATTGTGTAGGGTCACGAGCTAGTCTATGTTTCAAAGGAAAGGTCTAAGCATTGCTCTAACACACGATAATATAAGAATGCTTTCCGTTTTATTTGTATAGCCATACAAAATTTTCTGTAAATTTGTACTAAGCCCTTTCCCCCCGCCACTGCATTCTTGAAATTATGTCCATTGTGTCTCAGTGAAAGTCAATTTGGATATTTCTGAAACTCCAGGGAAGTGCAAAAAAAAAAAAAATGTAACTGAAAGAAAGTTTTTTGTTTTTTAAAAATAATCAAGCCCCCCCCATTTAACTCATTAAAAAAATTGCTGATATTCTGACCTTCTCAGAAACTCCCCAAATTCTTTCAAGAGGAAGATGCTGAGTAAAACAATGGGAACAAAAAACCCACCAAACATTTATTGTCAGCATTACCAATCAGGAATGGCGGGCTTTCTGAGGCCATACAGGGATTAATAAGGTCATGAAAACACTTTACAACCTATGTGAAAACATATATTCAACAGAACTCTTCATGGATCAAAAAAAAGCGTTGCAGTGTTTGCCGATATAGTTCACGTTGCTGAGACTTCGATTCCCCAAATCGGATTGAAGAAATTTCCCCAAGCTGCTTTTAATAATAGCAAGAGACCTGGGAAAGTCCTGCTCCCATTCCAATTTTCTATATCGTTCGGAGCGATGTTACCGCACCATGTGTCTGTGTAGGTTTAATCATTCTCTATCTTCTGCTCAGCTAGCTATCTCCCCGTAGAAAGGTACAATTAGCTGCTGCACTAATTTATAATAAATAAAACAAAGATCTTGTTGAAAAAAGAAAACCCCTCCAGTTATCAGTGACTCTCGTTGTGAAGTGCTCGTTGAAATTCTCACTATGGGCCCAGAGAAATACCTGATGCATTGACAAATCCCAACCATTTGGCTTTGTTATAAACAGATTATCATCACATAATACAGGAAAACGGTCGGCTTTAATTGAGGTAGCCAGAGATTTACAAAGCCCACCGCAGCTTTTTCCTATTGATGCTGATAAAGCTCGGAATGAGCTTGCCTGCATTTTCTCTTACATATATCACAACTGACCCAGTTTATGATTTTATCTCGTGCCTGCTATACGCATTCCCCTTCATGAGCCAGGGATAAGAAATGAGACATTGGAGGGCTCCACATTAAGATAGCGGGTGGTGTAAGGCAGAGATGGGGAGCCTTTGGACCTCCAGATGCTGCTGCATTCTAACTTCAATCAGCCTTACCCAACAAGGCCAATGGTCTGGGATAATAGTAGCTGCAGTCTCTGGAGGACATCAGGTTCTCCATCCTTGGTGTGGCTCTACTTACAGCCCCCGACTGGCTCTAGTAGGGCAGGGGTAGTCAACATGGTCCCTTGCAGATGTTGCTGGACAACAATTCCCATCATCCAGGACTATTGGCCCTGCTGGCTGGGGCTGATGGAAGTGGTTGTTCAGCAACATCTAGAAGGCACCATATTGGCTTCCCCAGCGCTAGTGGTTTACCTGATTGTCAGTAACATGCACTGGAAGAACAGAGCCAGTTTTTCATTTCTGGAACAGAGGGTAATAGTCAGCTAGATTTTACTCAGAGTAGGCCTTTTGAAATGAATGGTCCTAACTTCCTCATGTGTATTAATTCCAATGGGACTACTATGAATAAAACCTACAAACAAGTAGAGGCTTTAAATCAGGGTTTCCCAAACTTGGGTCTTGTTTGGGACTGTTTTGGGACTACAATTCCCATCATCCTTGACCACCGGTCCTGCCACCTAGGGTTGATGGGAGTTTATTGAGATTTGGTACTCATTTATTTGCCTTTGACAAAATGTTCTTGCATTTTTTATTTGGGAGCCAAGGGGGAGGAGGGATATTACTTTGGTTTTTGCAATGATTGTTATTTATTGTCTTGTAATAAAATAATAATAATAATAACTTGCAAGAGAAAGACAGCAAGCACACTTAGCTGAATGCCACCCATTATCTGGAAGTAGCAAGCAAGCCCCAAGCGTCGGCCAAATTCTCCTAGTTGGTTGGGTTTCCTAACAGGTTGACAGGTGTGGTTCTAAAAAACTTGTCCTTGATTAGTGGGCTGCCATCTGTCCTTCCCTATACATTGGTAACTCGGGTTAAGAACTTAATTCGTTCTGGAGGTCCGTTGTTAACCTGAAACTGTTCTTAACCTGAGGTACCACTTTAGCTAATGGGGGCTCCCACTGCCGCCGCACAATTTCTGTTCTCATCCTGAAGCAAAGTTCTTAACCTGAGGTACTATTTCTGGGTTAGCGGAGTCTGTAACCTGAAGCGTCTGTAACCCAAGGTACCACTGTAGACCACACACCTGATTGCATGTATTATTATTCATTAAATTTGTATACAGCCCTTCATCTGAAGATCAGTGTGAGTCAAACATAAACATTCAAAAGGAGGACACAAAATACATCATAAAACAGAAACAAACCAATAAGCCCCCTCCCACAAACAAATTTTAAAGGTCATAGAATGTTTATCAACCAAAGGCCTGGTCATAGAGAAATGTTTTCGCTTGGCGCCTAAAGATATGTGATGAAAACGCCAGGCGAGCCTCCCTGGGGAGAGCGTCCCACAAATGGCGAGTCACCTCAGAAAAGGCCTGTTCTGATGTTGTCACCCTCTGGAAGCACACAAAGAAGGGCCTCAGATGGTGATTGCAGGGTCTGGGTCAGTTCCTATGGGGAGATACACTCCCAGAGACAATAACTATTTAAAAGGTAATTTGCTTTATTAAATGTGATAACTCTGTACTTGGAGCTCGCTGGGCTCATCCGTCTCAGGACCATAATGCCACAGTGCTGAGTTTTTACTCCCTAGGCCCAATGAGAAGCAACCAGCAATTCATTTAGCACCAAAGTAAGGACTCGGGCAGAAATATTGCCGTGTTGACCTTATCTAGGAGCTGTAAAGAATCCTTTCTGCTGCTTTAAAGGATTGAAGTGTTAACAATAGAAGACGATGCTGCCCTAGAAAGCATTCTAATAAGAGCAACAGTTTGATCCCTAAAGGAACGAACAATGAAGCCTCTATTCAATCCACTCTGGAAGAAGAAAGAAAGGATGACATACGGAAATGGACACACTCTGCAACAGGAGAAAAGACTATTTTCACTCGGGAAAAGAGAGAGTTGGGAGAGAAATAAGCATACTAAAAATCCACTGCTCCACATATCTGGGTTTATATTCCTGCAGCAAAAGAAACCACCGATTCAAAATTAGCGTCTTAGCAGTATGATGGCTATTTAAAAACGCCGACAACAATTTGCTGCTATCCCAGTTGGTGCATGTGTCTTAGACAAACCCCAGGCTTGACTTTGCTGTCACTCCTCATGTGGGCATTCTCTGATAGTCTGAACCAGGGTCAAGATCACAAAAAAAACACAAGAGAGGGGGTCATAATGAGCCTTTGCCTGCATTTAAGCATTTCTGAAGATCAGCAGCGATATGAGCACATGCCAATGTGCAACTGATCTGCGAGATCTGCACTGATACGCTCCTGTACAACAGCCTTCCAAGTACTGCTTGCAATTGGAAACAGAGCTGACAGCACCAGGACATAAATTTGTGTGAAATGGCTTGATTTCTATGCACAGCTATATTGCGTGATAGAATAATCCCATGTAACATGATGGAGAATGTATTGCTTACCTTCCTATTTATAGCAACACCATCTTCACAATCCAGCACAGCACAATCCACATCGACAGATGAGATTTTCCGTATCTTCCTCTCGTCGTCAGCTGGCACGTAGAGTACAGCCCTTCGGGGTATGTAGCTACGAGACGGTGTCAGGCGATAACCAAGCTTAGGAGCAGGAAAAGGCAGAAAAGGACTCCTCCTGTAAAAAAAAAGATGAGATCTCTATTAATCTCAGGCTGTACTTCTTAAACGCTTTCAAGAAGTTCCCCTGCCACTTTAATTACTGAGAAGAACGGCTTACTTTGTTAACATCTGCATGCTGCCTTAACTCCAAGGGTAAGTAAAGGTAAAGGGGCCCCTGTCCATTGGGTCCAGTCGTGACCGACTCTGGGGTTGCGGCGCTCATCTTGCTTTATTGGCCGAGGGAGCGGGTCATGTGGCCAGCATGACTAAGCCGCTTCTGGCAAACCAGAGCAGTGCACGGAAACGCAGTTTACCTTCCTGCCAGAGCAGTACCTATTTATCTATTTGCACTGGCGTGCTTTCAAACTGTTAGGTGGGCAGGAGCTGGGACCGAACAACGGGAGCTCACCCCGTCGCGGGGATTCAAACCGCCGACCTTCTGATCGGCAAGTCCTAGGCTCTATGGTTTAACCCACAGCGCCACCCGCGTCCCTAACTCCAAGGGTATGGGTAGCCAAAAGGTAAGTCCCAGGTGATGTGATGTAGATCAGCAAACATTTATGACTCCCAGTTGATTAACCATGGGAACAACAAAATACACGCACTTCATATCACTTTGTTGAAATCAAGAAAGCGGGGTTGGAGGCGGGGATGACAATGAATAATTTGTGTGTGTGGAAGGACACTCAGTTCAGTTCTGGTAATCAAAACAAAGTCCTGGATTCAGAATCGTATCACGCTAAGCAGAATCGTATCACGCTAAGCATACAGCACTTCTTCAAACAGCACATAGTTAAGTTATGGAAGTCGCCTACAGAGAATGCAGTGATGACCACCAACTTTGATGGCTAGTGTAAGAAAAATTGGAGTAGCTCTCATGAAGTTGATGTCACTGTGTCACGGAAGGCCCATAGCTCAGTGGCAGAGGGCCTGCCTTGCATACACAAGGTCCCTGGTTCAACTCTTGACACCTCCAGTTAAGGCCAGTGCTGAAGAACTGCTGCTAGCTCAGTGTAGGCAACACTGAGCTGGCAGGACCAATGCTCTGACTCAGTATAAGGCATTGTTCTTTGAGTTCAAGCTGATGACTAATTGAGACTGCACACACATCTGCCTGCAAGTAAGCATCACTGAATTATGATGGAGCTGACTTCCAGTAGGCATGCATAGGATTGACCTGTAAATGTGACAGCTAACACTGGCCAAGGACATGTGATGCCACGGCTGCCCATCTGCCCATTTACAAAGCCCAGAGCAACATGGGTCCAGGATATCTCAAGGACCGCCTGAACACTTATCATTCAGCTCAATCACTGAGATCCTCTGCAGGAGCACCTTTGGACGTTGCCTGAGTTGGTGAGGTTTGTTTGACAACGATGGGGAATGGGCCTTTAGTGTCATCAGCCCAGTCCTGTGGAACACCCTGCCAATAGAAATTCAGCAGGCATCTACTGAAAACCTTTCTAGTCTGCCATGCCTCTGCAGGCAGTTAAGAATACATCCCCAACAATGGTCAACTGATGTTTGCTTTTAATTATTTTTACTTTTAACTTGGTTTTAACTGATTATGACTTTATTGTTTGGTTTTATCTTTATATTGTTGTAAACTGCTAGGTTTCTTTTATGATGCAGCAGCATATAAACATTTTTGCAAACAAACAAACAAATGCCAACCATGACCTAGAGTCACCATCACAGCAATTTGCAATCTTGTGATCTCCTCCATTGAAGACAGAAAGCATTACAGGGCCACAGATTTCCCCTGGGCAAATTAAGGGGAATAGTTTTGTTTTACCTATATCCCCACCCAAGTCTCTTCTCCTGAAGTTTCTCAGGATGATGGGTTTATACCCGGTCCCTAGGACACTGACTTGTTCTCCCCCCGACTCTCCATCTCTATAACCAAGGCTTTGCTGCTTTGGCAACTTCAAAATTCTGCACTTCAGTAGCTCAGATTTTTTGCTTAGAAGAGCTGGGTTCTGCAACCTGTGGGAAGTGCTCAAATTAAGCACCTATTTTCTGGTTTTGAGTAACGCATTTTCATTCTGCAGATAAGTCATAGCCAAGGGAAGATGGTGCCTCTTGTTCCAGGTTCCCTCTGACTGCCCCTGCCACTTTCAGAGATTCCCCAGGCATTGGCAATGACATGAAATTATAAAATGCCCCCATTTACGCAACTCTCTCGTATGAAAAAGAAGAACAACATTTAAATGGTTTGTAACAAACACCAACAAGTCTTGGGCACACACGCAAGTGAGCCAACTAGAGAATCAGACTATTCAAAGCTGCAGAAAAGGCTGATTTTTGCAGACTAATAATCCCAGTTATTGGCCTAACATTTTAATCGTTTTGTTCCAATGGCTTGTTTCTCACAGAATTAGCAACAATGAATGGCTAAAATACCTCAGATCATATATGTCTAATTGCAGTCAAGAGCAGCTCTTGTCTGCATGTACATTTCAATTTACCTCTGGGGATAATGTTTGTTAATTGTATTTCTTTTATATGCTGGTGGCGGAGGGGGGAGAAAGCTGCTTACTCAAAAAGGGGCTAAGTGTTCCCTTCTATCCCTTTGTTCGCACAAGAAGCTAAAGTCACTTCAAGAGGCACTTAATCCCATCATCCATGGTTACAATTGCCTTACAGCGTCAGTCAAAAAGAATCCGAAGTAAATGCAGCTATATTATGTAATTAAAAGAAATTCAGGTAGTTATTGCCAGGGGCACTTTCCAGGTCCAAATACGTAAAATGGCACTGCAGGGATCCTAAATACTGCAGTGTTTTAAATCTGGTCAACCACAATATCGCACAGATCAAGAGGAGGAATATGCAGAAAAGGAAAACGCCTCTCTCCTAGTGTGCATTGTGAAGGAAGAGGAAAGAGGAGGGACTTTCTGACCTTTGAAGTGGCAAGAACCTACAGAAGCCCATCTGAAAAGGGAAATAAAAATATCAAGAGGAAGAGAAACAAACAGACTTATTACAGAAGGCCCCAGCTCCAAATGTAATTGTTTAAAACTATGTAATATAAAAAAATAGAATCATCTTTAATGCTTTTGTTCAGCTTATCCAATGTTCAAAATACATATTTCCTTCAGAGGAGCCTGGCATAGCATTTGATAGCTGCCTGTAAAGCGCTGATCTTAAAGAGATTTACTAGAAAGTTTAGCGTCACGAGTCTAAAGTTAATTTCAAGGAATTGGTGGCCAATTAAGGAAGCAACATGTTTGATATCCAGATGTTTCACAGCAGTTGATCTAGCAACTCCAAATGGTGTGGATTTAGCAACATTCTCTAATTAAGTTGATACAGAAACCAAAACCATGCCAACCAACATATCAAACACACACCTTATATATATGGTTTCCCTGCTTTCCCCCCTTATAACAAACAACTGCTTGGAAGTTTTGTTTTTTCAAAACAATCTCACAGCCTCCTTTTCCATCTAAAAATGCCAATCAGATAGTTTCAGTGGAAGATTAGATGCTGGGTTCTGAGGGTTTGGGGAACTTGAGCTTTTAAAAACACAACCTTAGAAACACCATTCAGTTCATAATATGGCCTCCATAATGAGCCTCATATTCTGCTGCAAATAAGAGATTGACTCTGCTAAAACAGATGGGCACAAACAGGTTCAAGCCGACTGTAAGTGAAATCAGCACTAAGGACAGTGTTTCCAGTTGAAACTGCCTACAATGATTAAAATAGCTATTACAAAAGCCTGAGAAAGTACACAGTCCAGTACAAGCAACAGAAAAACACGGGGGAAAGGGGTTAGCAATGCTATTTTTAAAAATTAACCCCAGCAATGACAAACCCTGAATCTCAAAGGAACAGATTGGGATCTGTGACACCACAGAGCAGTTGCCTGCTGGAAAACCAAACCGGTAGCAAGAGAGAAAAAGGGAGGCTTCCAAGTGACCCTCTGCAAATAAACTGCTAAAATAGGTAGGTTTCTTCTTGCTGGAGATATAGGCATATAAACAGTGCGTGAAACATCACTGGTTACCTTGCTGTTCTTTTAAAGGATGCACAACAAGGCAGCAGAGTGCCCGGGCTGAAACAATAACACCAATCAAATGTTTTAATCTAAAGTCTTTGTTTATTTTTTGTGACACTTTAACAACATCCTCCATACATTTACTTGGATGCTAAGTTTCCTGATTTCAAATGGAACCTAAGTCTGCTTATGACTGTAGTCTTCAATTATTTTCTCCCGCTTGATGTCACAATATAATCAATTTTAAAATGATGTATATAGAACAAAGGGTGGTGGAATCCTTGGTGGATAGGACTAACTACAAACCGAAAGAGAGCTGACAAAGGCCTGGAATAATTGATCTCATCCATAAAATGATGAAGTACTACCATAGGTTAAATAGTTAACCAAGACCACTCCCCTCCCACTAGGTCTAACCCCTTTCCTTTAACTCATCAAGTAAATAATCTCCGTGATACTGACATTGCGGTTTGCAAATATCAAGGGCTCTTCCAAACATCTTTTCATTTAAAGCAGAGAAGGACACAATCTGGATGCAGTGCAATTTCATCAAAGTTGCTTTTATTGAATTGTTCTCAAAGAAAGCTAAGCACTCTCACACAGGAGACTGAGGCAAGTAATTTGTTGAGAAATTAAAAAAAGGAAAACTAAGACTTGGTAAGAGTCCTGGGTTTCAATGGAATTTAAGTAAGGCAGTTCTCTTTAGCCCTCTAGGAAAGTAAGTATCAATTATAATTACTTCCAGGTAAAAATACTTTGATATAGATTGATATGATTCTTATAACTCAGGAGTCACCAACCTTTCTGGACCAGGGACACATTTCAATTTTTGGGGAAGTGTTGGGGCTGCCAGTCACAAAATGGCTGCCATGGGAGAGGATGGCATAAAGAGACAACCTTATGCTTATCACAGGAAGTAAGCAATGTCCTGACTGTGGACATCAAACAATAGTGCGTTTCTCAGTACCATGGAAAAAGGCATATCACACACACTCTAATTCCACAGAAATCGCTTA